GGAACTTTAACAAATTTATGGGAAAAAATACACCTCATTAAAAAGTGGGCAAATGACATGAACAGACACTTCTCAAAAGAAGACATATATGTGGCCAACAAGCATATTAAAAAAAGCTCAACCTCACTGATCATTAGTGAAATGCAAATGAAGCCACAGTGAAATACGATCTCACACCAGTCCGAATGGCTAATTTTTTTGAGTCTTGCTGTGTTGCCCAGGCTGGAGTGCTGTGGTGCAGTTCCTAGCTCACTGCAGTCTCCGCCTCCTGGGTTCCAGCAATTCTCCTGCCTCAGCTGCAATTACAGGTGCCTGTAATTCCAGCACCTGTAGCTGGGATTACAGGTGCCTGCCACCATGCCCAGCTGATTTTTTTGTATTTTTAGTAGAGACTGTGTTTCACCATGTTGCCCAGGCTGGTCTCGAACTCCTGACCTCGTGATCCACCCGCTTTGGCCTCCCAAAGTGCTGGGATTACAGGCATGAGCCACCATGCCTAGCCAGAATGGCTAATTATTAAAAAGTCAAAAAATTGGGCATATGTTATCAGGATTCTGTGTGCTTGCCATGTATGTGTGGCAAGTGCCGGGCACATATAAATAAGAAGGGTAGTATTATTTTCAGAGATAGTCACTGGCTGAAGCTTCTAGAGGTGCAGTCCAGAGTGTGGGTTTAGCTTCCATTTCTGCTCACTGTATGACCTTGGACGTGTTACTTAATCTTTCTGCCCCTCAGTCTCATCATCTGAGAGCTAGGTATGAAATACAACCTGTCCTCACAGCACTGCAGAGAGGGCATAATGAGCAAATAATACAGATCAAACCTAGACGCCACCTGTTCAGCTGAGTCTGGCACATGAGGAGGGCTTGGTCGGAGGGAGAGAGGATGAAGAGGATGGGAATGGTGGTGCTCTCGGTGGATCTGTTACTTCACTAGGGCTGCCCTAACAGGGTACACGGAATGGGCGGCTTGAACGACATAAACTGATTTTCTCACAGCTCTGGAGACTGGAAATCCAAGATCAAGGTGTCTGCAGGACTGGTTCCTTCTGAACTCCATGGGGGAAAGGATCTGATCCAAGCCTCCCTTCTTGGCTCATAAGTGGCCATCTTCTCCCTGATCTTCACATGATCTTCCCTTTGTATCTGTGTCTAAATTTCCTCTTTTTTTTTTTTTTTTTTTTTT